AAGTCTCTCCCTCGGTATTTCAATGCCTCTTGCTTCAGAAAGTGCTATACTAACATTTATTATATACTCTGCGTACGTTTTTCTCGTTCTTTTCATCTCTTCTTCTTCTTCTTCTTCTTCTGTTTTCCAGACTTCGTCGCTTTTCTCGCTATCGTCGTCGTCACTGCCGCTACCACCTTCATTATCCCATTCATAGTCACCGCTACCACTACCATCTTCATCGTTCCATTCATAATAATCACCGCTGCCGCTACCGTGTTCGTTATAATTGCTATCATTCTCTCGGTCGTTTTCATCGTTCCTGTCGCCGCTATTGTTCCCCCCTTGATCCGCGTTTTCGTCGAAATATAAATCGTTGTTGGTATCCTCCATTCTTTTATGATTATTCCAGTTACCCGGATATTCTTCCGATTTTTCAATGCTATCAGATTTGCGTGCTAACTTGTGTCTTGACTTGTGTTTCTCAGCATTCTTTCCTGTCGCAGGATTTATCACTCGATTAACAATTCTTCTTTGCACGTGATATTTCTTATTGTGGATTATAGCCCTTTTCGTTGATCTTTTTAACGTTTTCTCATCGACATGTCTCTTCGTCGTTCTCTCGATCGTATTACTTATTCTTTTCTTGCGAATTCTACGATTATTAATTTCTCTCTCATCGATATCCCTCTTTCGTATTTTCAATTCATCTTCGTGGTCGTCCTTTTCACTTCCTTCTTCGCTATCGTTGTCTCCATCACTCGTATATATTACATCAATGATTTATAAGCTTGTACACATTTGGCGACAAGTGAGGGGTATTGATCTAAAATGTGTCAGATAACAGTATTTCTTTACCACTTTGTAACTTTATAGAAATAATGTCTCGCAGATTATATGTACTTACAAACAGATGTAGCCCTTTATGAATCGAATAGTTCGTAGAAACGTGCACATCGTGGAAACTATTTAATCCTGTCAAACGAGCGTAGTAATCGTCCACATTTTGCCATTTGTATATTTTCTGATCCCATTCATCTTCCTCCATTATTAATGGCCATCCACCTGCTCTCCACATCGTGGATATGAGCGGCTGCAGACCAGTTCTTTCTATTTCACCTGTGAATTACTCTTATAATTTAATTTACTGATAACATTTTGACCAAGACATCTTATTAAGACGTAAAGGACATGATTCTGAGATTAAGATCTAAAAAAAAAATATATATATATATATATATATTTTGTTAAGAAACACCTGTGTCCAAGCAAACTGCAAACGCCATTTTGGCAAATTTTGTGGCATGCAGGTCATCAGGTTTGGGCGCCTCTCCCATGATTTCTGAATATAGAAATATCTAACGATAATTATTATATTTTATTTATATAAAATAAAAGATTCTGAATAACTAGAACTTCGAATGAAAATAACGAGCAAACCTTCGAGACGTTCTTCAACTTCCTTCTGACTTTTAATTAACATATTCCATCGTGTTTCGTTAACAGGAAGCGGATTATATTTAGCCCAATTGCCACATGCATACTCGTAGAAATCTTCGCATGGATCCATGCTTTGGATTCATACTTTCCACTAATGATTTCGCTGTTAGGTAACAGACAAATTGAAACTATTTATATCAAGAATCTTCTTATATTTCTTTAACACTGAGCAGATTACAATATATTTTTATATTATTTTAAAAAATCTAATCTGCTCACCAAGATCTTTGCATTGTTGAGCGAGGCAAAGCGGTCGTTTTTCTGTTGGTTCTTTTGTAGCTGTACTTAACAACCATCGTGAATGAAAAGTGTGGTTCACAGTGCTATCGATACCACCAGTAATGACGACCAAAAATGCACTATAAAATTCATTAAAAAAAAAAAAAAATCACATTGTACGTGAACATGATAATTCTAAAATTTATTTAGACGATAAGATTTCTTTTCGTAATAACCACTTACAGAATCCATATTAATCTCATTATCTTAATAATACAGTAAAAAAAAAAAAGAAAGGAACGAGCTGAGCTACATAGACGTAGCCTCCGATTTACAGACTTTCGATTTCTGAAGTGCAGAACTCATCGAAGTTGGTGATGATTTTATATTTACAGAAAACGGAAAGACCCTGAGTCTGTCGATGATAAGCGCTGATAGTATACATATACTATGTATCGATACCGTGTAACATCCTCTTCGTACACATTGCTTTCGCAGGAATAAAGTAATATTGCATATTCTAGCATCGTATTTATTATCGTAGGCATTTGTTAATTAAATTTTATTATAACACTGTCTATCTACAGTGACAAAACAAGTATAAATAATAATATTATAATTTATATAGCTAAACGTAGGTAAGTTAGGTAATAATTATTTAATCGACCTTATTATTATTATATTAGAAAAAACATTAACCAAGTATATTCCATATTCATTGATTCATCAAATTTTTGTTTAATATTCCGTTGCATAAGCCTGCATTGATGCATGGAACACAGTAGATACAGTTTTCAGTGAAACTTTTATTGTCAGTTTTAGTATCGCTCGATCGTGATACCTTGTGACTCAATATCAGGATACATGGCGGGTGAAAGAAACGGTAGCATCGCATCGCATCAGATGCTGCAGCATCTAGTCTGAGGCGAAAGGGCTGCGCAACCTTATTTTTCATCCGCGGACAGGATAACGTGTGCACGCTGGCTCTAGGATGCAGTCCAATCTGAAAATATATTGCACAAATATACGATGTTAACAACGTTGCCGCACAGACGATGGTGGAATAGTTAGCGATTGGATGCCTGTGACAGGAGAGAGTAAATCTGAGCGGTAGCCAGTTACTCGATCACAGATTGCCTGCATGTTGATACGAATAAGTGAAATGAAATTCATTGATCAAACAACAGATATTTCGAGTGATATCCGAACGTTTGTGTTATCCTCTTTCCTCTCCCTTGTTTTGTTATTTCGTCTTCTCGATTTATTCACACACGTGTGTGCAATAATTGTTTCATGAATTGACTTGCTTCGAAATTAATTGTATCGGATAAAATGACGACCAATAGTTAACTAATGATTTATAGAAGTTGAGAAACGCGAAATACTATCAATTTCCTTCGTTGGAATCGCAGTGAGAAGCAATAATTCTTCTTAAGTACGTAATTTGTAAAAGTAATCAGTAGCCTTTCAAATTAATCATATTCAATTCGTTATGTCGTATTAACCATCTTCAGCTGTACGAATTAATAATTGATTCAAATACATCACGGTTAGTTGTTCGATAACATTTTATCTGGGATTTTAGCGCAACGGTTCCCATTCTGTAAATGTGAATGTAAAAGTGAAGCAACTGAACGAGAGGAGTGAGTAAAAGGTTCGTAATCGCAATCAGCATCGTCGAAGCGAGCAACGTGTAAGGATGAAAGTCCTTGAGAAATATTTGGGCACATCCAACAGATCAATAAAAAGATAATTTTATTAAGAGGTAGATTCGAATCTTACAATTTAACATCTTTATAAACAAAATGATACAATCGATAAGTTGAATAATTAAATTGCTAAATTATTTTCGATTGCAATCAATATAAAAATCTGCGGGATACGAGGAGTATGGCATATTGAATTTAAATATACCGCCTTTTTTCTGGGTAAAACTAAGCACTTTGTATGGTATAAGAGGTTAATTTATATAGTAATTTAAAAGAAACAATGAGAATCACATAAATATAATTTACTTAATAATAAAAGATTAAAGATGTTATTAATATATTATAGTAATATCTAGTGAACTTCATATTTTCCTTTAATTTCGAGAAGACGATAATTCATCGGTAAGGTTATGTTTAAGATGTATTAAAATTATAATTTCAAATCATTCTTATGATTCATTTTCATGATTCTTAACGTAATTCCTACAATAATATTGTGTAAGAACATAAACGTACGGAAATTTCATTATGTAATAATACATGATATTGAAATGTATAATTAGAAATTAATGATAAATTTATATTTGAAACTTCTTGTCAAATAATTTATTGCAGAGGAGTTTTACAACTCATTATGTAATAGTGAGGTATTTGTTTCTTTTGTGATATAAAGTCTTTCGACATAATCAAGAAAAAAGAAAGCATAGAAGCATGTCGACTTTAATGCGCATGCGACTTATGAATGGTGGGGAGATCCTTCGGGAAAAGATATTACATATTTTCGACCAAAGAGGAATATCTGCTCCTGCTTCGAAAAAAGTGAAAATGGTAAGATTATTATAATAAATTTATAAAATTAAATATTGGAAAGTGCATTATTGTTAGTATTACGTGAAAAAGAAAATTGAATTGGCATGAGTATATAAATCAGCTGGAAGTTTTATAAATAATCTGCGACCATTAATTTAAAATCTTCATGATAAATTTCGATCTGCTATTATCGTTAAAAGTGATTTTTAACTGTGGTTTGAAATTTTTATCGGTTCAAATAAATTAGTAATGTATAAAAATATATATTATCTGTACATGATATTTCGTGATTTTTGGGCGTAACAAGTGGTTGAGATCCTAAGATCTGTCACACGTAAATTGTAACTTTTATAATTAAAAAGGTAAAAGATACAAAAAAGATTGTTCTAATTAATTGTTAATTGTTAAAAAATAAATATAATTTTCTGTTTATGTAGAAAATTTATTTTCTCATATTGCGAAATAATGAGCGGCTGAAGTAATTCTTAATCGTATTGATCTGACATTCCTTTTACCGATATCAGTGAGGAAAATTTTTTGTTTTATTAGAATTCAAGTAATTTTTTCATTAACATTTGTATAGATTTATTACTAAAAAATATTTAAAATAATAATTAAAACGTAATATACAAATATACAAAATATACAAATTGAAATATATTACATTTTTTTAATGTAAATATATCTTTAATTTTTAGGGAAAGCTTACTGAAGAGGAACGAGAAAAAGATTTAAAGCCATTATTAACAAATGGATGGTCTGTGCAACAAAATAGAGATGCTATTTATAAAGAATTTTTATTTAAAAATTTTAATCAGGTGAGTTTTATTTTAAAAATTAATTTTTTATTCGCTGTATTTTTAATATTAATTTAATGGAAGAGTTGTATTATTTTTTACATATTCATGTTGATAGGCATTTGGTTTTATGACCAAAATTGCATTGCAAGCAGAAAAAATGGATCATCATCCTGAATGGTTTAATGTTTATAATAAAGTAAACATTACTTTGTCCTCCCATGATGTAAATGGCTTATCACAAAGAGATGTTAAACTTGCATCTTTTATAGACAAGGCTGCTAAAGTGGAAGAAAACTAAAACTTGATTTATATAATAATTTTAAAATAATTTTAATATTTGAATAATACTTCTATGACAATAAATGTTTAGAATTTATACTGTTATAAAAGTTATATTAAATATATGTTACATGGCACATATATTTCTACATATAAATATTACATATCTAAGATCCATTTATGTTTGTTTCATATGATTTACATAAATAAATTGTATTTAATTGATGTACTGTCACAATATATGTTGCCTAAAGTAATAAACATTATTTAATGATAAATAATTTATTTCTGAATAATTTACAAGAAATGGAATTTCAAACCATCCAAAGTAAAATTTATGACCTATTCAAAACATGTAGTTATTATTTGATTATTCTATTCTAATCAAAATACATAATAATTAATAAATTATTCTTCGACAATAGGTTTGTTTCGTGGAGGTGTTTTACCAATTGCCCAAGCATCTTTTACAGCTCTTGAAACTCCAGGACCGTTATTTATGAGTACAAATAGGCCACATAATGTTACCGCTGAGACTATAAGCAATGAAAAGTGTAGAATTTTTGGCAGTACAGGTCCAAGAACACTAGGTCTTGCATAGTCTGTAATAATAGCTTCTAGACCCCTATTTGATATAGGTTTTATTATAATAAAAATTTAGAAAAAATGTGAAATTTATAAATATTAAATCCATTGATCCAAATGATATAAAATATAATATTAATAATAATTCTTAAAGGGAAATAATTACCAATGTGTATGCATTACAATTAATACAGACATTATGCCCTCAAGAATAGAATTTTCTGTTATTAAAGCAGCAGGTATCAAAAATGGTAATGCTGTCGAAACAACTCTTTCCAAAACCCACAAACGTACATGATCACCAGATGTACTTGCATTGCGACTTATTTGCGTACCTAAAATGGCAGTTGATGGGAACTAAAACACATTTACATTTATATTACACAAGAATATGTATTTACCCCAAAATTAATGTAACCTAAATACTTGAAATTAATATTCAATACCTTTATCAAACAATTAGTTTTATTGTTAACTGTACCAGAATCCAAACATTGTCTAACAGTGGCGAGACTACTGGAAGTTCTACCAAATTGGTGTAGTCTACAGGAATTTGCAAAAAGAGTAGTTTTCGAAAGTGATTCTGCAAAAATAAAAATAATATAATTATTTATATAATCTCAATCTTATATATATCTTATATTTTATTTTAAACTAGAGTGCTTAAAGATAAAAGAAAATTTTTCTCAGTAGGGTTATGTCAATGTCATTAAAAATAGTAAAAATTATATAAATCGGGACAATTTATATGTCTTTTCAAGTCTCAAATTCCACTTACCCAATTGTTTAACCTTGTCAATGATGGTGGGAGATACTACTCTTTTTAAAATCATTTTGTAATTATAAAATACAAAATTTTCCAAATCTGTGTTAATACACAGACTACGACGACGAACTTTTATGACAATTAGATGTTAGTTACGATTGTAATTTCATAGGACTAAAGATATGCATAAATACAAACGAGTTTTCTCTATCGACTATTTTCACATCGATTTGTCTTCGACTTATCGAATAATTTAAGTTTATCTTACTGCAACATAAATTCATAAAAAGTAATTTGTAAAATGAAGTGTCTTTATTGTAATATACTATTTTACAAAAATAATTTACTCTTTTATATTTTTATTTGTACATCGCATTTGTATATAAACAAACATTTTATTACATGAACTTGGGTTGAATAATATGCGTGTGGTTTTTGCAATATCCTTTAAAATATTTGATTATTCAAGAAATTACAAGGTACATGAAGTTATTTGAAACTTATTTGTAGTTGAGAAACACTGCGCGAAAGCACGTGTCGATCAGGTTAAAATCCTGTAGCATTAAACAGCATTTTTTAGTTATGTTGAATTATATTTTTGAATTGAGAGCATAAAATTCGAAAAAAATTTAACAAACGGTTATTAAGTACAATGTCTGAAGCAAATGAAAGTATCGATCCCGACAATACTTGTGCTATAAAAGCAAAATCTTCACAAGAATGTACGTCGGAAAAACCTAAAAAGGATTTCAGGAAAAATAATCGGTGGAATAAAAAAAAGAACAATGGTAAGTCGTTGAAGTAAGCATATTAATTTTAATCTCACGAAAGTTAACCGATCCTTTTGCTTTTGAAATTTTTTTTTAAAGGATCTCGAAATGACAATTTTAACAAGAGTCCTTTTAAACGAAATTTGCCAAATTTTCACTCAGGTGGGAAAAGAAGGAAACTGGAAGTTGGAAACAGGTTAAAGGAACGCGATGTTGGGATCACAGAATTTATTGGAAGTGAAGGATTTTTTGGAGTGATTAAAGAAAGATACTCCGACTTTCATGTTAATGAGCTTGCTCCTGACGGACAGATAGCTAAATTAACAAACCAAGATATTCCATCAGATGGGGAAGAGCATGACAGCATGGAAGAGTCGAAGAAAATAATACCAGATACAATTTGGAAGCAACTACAGGAATTAAAAGAATCAAAAAATAAAAATGTTCTAGAAATTGATGTAACAGATATTTCTAAAGATCAACGTAAAGCAATTCATAATATTGCTAAAACAATGAAGGATGTTTTAAGTCAAACTATAGATAAGGAAAATAAAAAGATCTTGATGATTTTGCCAAATGAAGACAGTAATAGTGCTAGTAAGTTAGACATTTATTTTAAGTTCAAAATGTATAAGTTATACAAGATACGTTTTGCTCTTAGGTTATAACTTTCGGAAAGATAACAGAATAAATTGGAGAAACCAAGGAAAATATTGTTACTTTTTATTACATAAAGTAAACATGGATACAATGGATGCTTTGAATCGGCTAGCCATGAATTTACATTTGAAGCCAAATAGTTTCACTTACGCTGGGACAAAGGATCGTAGAGCATGGACTACTCAGTGGGTTAGTGTAAGGAAAATTCGACCCACGAATATATTAAGAGCAGCAAAAACTATACGTGGAGCATACGTAGGAAATTTTAAATTTGAAACGGAATGTTTGAAACTGGGCATGTTGAATGGTAATTGCTTTAGAATCGCTTTGAGAAATGTTAGTGGAACAGATAAGCAAATTGAAAAATCAATGATTTCTTTAAGAGATCATGGATTTATAAATTATTACGGTTTGCAAAGATTTGGTACTGTAGCAACTATTCCAACTTATGAAATAGGCAAAGCTTTACTTCAAGGTATTCCTTTTTATGTAATTTATATAACAATTGGATTTTTCAAAGTTTGTATAAACTTTTGTCCAATATAAAGTTTTTGTGTTCTATAAAAAATAGGTAAATGGAACGAGGCAATTGATTTAATTTTAAAACCTAGAGAGGGTGAGAATGATGAAGACTTAATAGAAGCTAGAAAAATATATGAAGAAACTAAAGACGCAAGTGCTGCATACAAAAGGATGAGAAGATGTAATAAAGTAGAAGCTATACTTTTAAAGGGACTCAGTATAACCAATAGTAACAATCCTCAAGGTGCTTTGGATTTAATACCAAGGAATGCCCGTTTAATGTATATTCATGCCTATCAAAGTTTCGTTTGGAATCACATGGTATCAAGAAGAATAAAAGAATTTGGGAGGAATCCTGTGGTAGGAGATCTAGTATATGAAAAAGATATAAAATCTGATGATAATGAAGAAGAATTCGTTTGCAATAATGAAGAAGAACTCGTAGCTGAAGATGAAGAATCTAATGAAAAAATAAGTGAACTTGGAAACGAAGAAGATGTAAACAAGGAAATGGAGAAACCGTCTGAAACATTCGAAGAATCACCAAATATTTTGATTAAAGAAATAACAGATACTACAGAATGTTGTCTTAAAATAGACGAAAATGCAGAGAAAAGTAAAATTACTAATGAAAAAGATGAAAACGATGATTCACATAATCTTCCTATGGTAAAAATTCTCAAAGAAAAAGATTTGCCAAATTACAATTTAGCAGATGTATTAATGCCTCAAGTTGGTTGGAAAGTCACATATCCACCCTATGCTAAACCGTGGTTCGACGAGTTTTTGGCAAAAGACGGATTAACTACTGATCTTAGGCAAAAGAATAAGTAAATTATCAAAAATGATTTTTAGATATTTATTATCTTCGTGCAACAATATTTTTTAGTTAGATTCTTTATTTGTTTCATTTCAGAAAATATAATTTGGGCGGTGCTTATAGAAAAATATTGCAAATTCCTTCGAATTTATCTTGGAACATTATGCATTATTCAAAGAAACATAGCGATCTTATTATGTGCGATATTAATGAAATGAGAAAGTCGCCAGCTCCAAAAGATGATCCAGGTATTTAATTTTTTAACGCACATTAAGATTTTCATTTTTATTTAAAATTTAAAAAAATTATAAAACTTCAATTTTTTCAGAGGGACAGATTAAAGCTTTAATAATAGAAATGTCTTTAAAATCTTCTACATATGCAACTATGGCATTGCGTGAAATTTTAAAATCTGATACCTCGTCGCAAGTACAAGCTGCTCAGTCTGCTGCTTGTGATGTAAAATTCGAGAACTCAAACATCTCGAAAGATACTGCAGAAAGTAAAAACGCTATCGAAGACGATAATAAATCGAACGATACGGAAAAACATTTTGAGATTGAAGAACAAAAAATAGCAGATGATAAAATAGAAGCATCTAACTAAGTATGAAGCTATGATCATTTCTTCATATGCCTGAATGAACTAATATAGTACTTTATTTCTTAAATAAGATTTATATGTTAGGATCAAAATCTTATTCAATTAAATTTATTTTTTTTTTACGAATACATATTTTATTTTATTTGTATTACTTATTAGGTTTAGTAATGAATTAAAAGAAAGATATTTTGTTTGTAAAATAAGACTTGAATAATTTTTACGAGAACAATCAATCCATTCTTAAAAAATCAAAGAATTTTCGAATACTACAATGTTCAAAAAATGTATTGAACAGAACAGAATCTTTACATGCGTTTCATAGGTTAAATAACGTAAATAGAAAGAAAATTGTGGAAGAAAATCTAACTACAAAGACTTAATCACTAAAGTTTGTAAATTAATTCTTTCAATTAGCTTCTTTTGTAAGTAGAAATTTGATCAATTCATGAATACTAGCACCACGTGCAACTATCTTTTTCTTTGTCATATATTATTGCTCTCCTTATTTACGATGCTGAGGGCACCGACCAGATATATGAATAGATCAAGCATCTTACGGGATTTTGTGGCTCGTGACTTGAAATACCGACCGAAAATTCCAAATTTCGCAGTGTGCCGAATCGGGGTTCGAGCATTTAGATACGAGTAGTCTAACGCTATCCCCAACGACACAGTGGGGTTCCGCGGAACCACTGAGTCGAATTACCAAGGACGTTAGACTGCAAGTATCTCACCTCGTCCTTTCAGACGTGGCTGTAGTTCCCCGATTCGGCACACTGGCTACAAAATTTGGAGACCCGACTCTAGTGCAACGAACAAAGTAACGATAGTACCAACGAACGAAAGAAGAGAGGAGATGAAGGGGTTCCTAATTTCGTCCCAAGTTCAATTAACGTGCCTTTGTAGAAAATGCGTTCACAATAAATTTACAGAGATTAACTAAAACTAAACGCACGCAACTTAAAGCTAAGGTTCACGCAACTTAAAGCTAAGAAGACTGACGCAACTTAAAATTAAGACGCACGCATCCCACGACGTCCCTGATGCTCCGCTGGGTCGATGTGCACACGACGGAAGTTCATTTGGTAATGAGTCTTCGTACCACTCAAGGTTAATCTAATATTTCCGTCGTCAGTGATCTGGGACAGTTGATAACTTTTTTTTCAAACTTGTAAAATTTAATCTTTGTGTATACATCGAAAGTTGAATAGATAATGAGCCTCCCTACCGCTCAAGGTTAATCTAATGTTTCGGTCGTCGGTGATCCAGAACAATGATAATTTTTTTTAGTATTTCTAAAAACAGTTTTTTTATTATACTAATCAATAATTTAATAGTTTTTACATTTCTGTCGCAAAGTTACACTTTCATGAATATGTTACAACGTTAAACGTAATATTTTATTAATTTTTTATCGGCTAAAACTGAGTTTACATTTTCGTAATATTAATTTTTAAATTATAACTGCAACTTCGAAAGTTTAATCGATGTGTAAACTTCATATTTTTTTAATTTTAATTTTCACTGCTAGTAGTGCTGTGGTCGTAAAATCGGTACAACAGGATGTGACACGGAAATGGTAAGGGGGTCAGTGGACACCTCAAAACCTGGGACACGAAAAAGCATTGGATATCCAGTCTATATTAATTAGTCAATGATTGGATGCAATCTATTCATTCATATCTATTCATATACCTATTCATATACCTCGTCTGTGCTCAGGGGAAATATGCCTAAAAACATGACAAGAATGTAGGTCGATGATCGATAAATAATAAAGTCACCGTACTACAAAGGAAAATTTTATAATTTATTTTAACGTTTACATGATACAGAATTTATAATGGATGAATTACGACTGACGACTGACGACTGTTTAATTTCTTATTTACTATTATATATATTCTCTGCAATTTGTTTGTAACATGGTAATCAATAATTTATTGTATTTCCATGGTAACTTTTTATAGGACTAAATAGATGTCGCTAGAAGAATAAACTATAGGCTTCCATCTGTTGAATCTGGTAAGAATCTTTCGTTCTACCTAGTTTCGACAGATGGCAGCACATAACTTATTCTCGCCCTCCTTTTGTATATATAGGTGACAGCAGCTCTGTAGACAAGGACAACGATAATGTGCGACAAAGATTTAACTTTTTAAATCGCGTCTTTAGAATTAAACTCCAAGCTTTTTTCCTATGTTTCTTTTGACGTATAAAATGCATACACAAAGATATACAAGTTCTGTTTAATAGACCGAAGCGCGCTCGAGCAATATTTAATTTCTTACAAACTACGTTCGCAATTTGACTCAAAATTGATTGTAAACATAGTAGTAATTGTTAGTATACGTAGTTAGAAATAAATACAATCAATTTTACGTACAATTACGAATTTGAATCTTCGTTTAATCGATCAGTTGTTAACAAATATCTCACTCATAGAATCAGCACAAACTCATGCGCGATTTACGTTAACGGAATTAATGAATTAATTTGCGAATTTCTTTGCGTATAATAAACCTCTCTGAAATATTCAATGCGCATGTTTTGAAAAGAATTCACTTCGGTTCCGTAAATTAGGAAGCGCGGTGCCTGTCTGCTTTAAACCTTAAAACGGCGGAGGGGGGTGGGGGACCTCTTTGAAATCGATCTTCCACGATAATGTTCGCGATGTACATAGTAGAAATATCGGGGTATTGTCGCGCGTGGTCGATGAAGAAGCGATTTGTAATGATTCCGAGGAGACTTGTATAGCGTTAATATCCCCTCAGGTGACAAACGAGGGAATGACGCTGCGGTACGTCCGGCGTCCCGATGCCACACGACAAATTATCTCACCTCCGGTCTCCATACGGTGAAAAATCGCCAATATCGTGACGAAGCGTTACCGCTTACTCAAAAACTTGCCGCTCTATACGGATAATTAAGCGTTTCCCCAGTTTAAACGATAGGTATACCTCACTATAAAACGTCTCGTAATAATAAATATGAACTCGCGCGGTTATCGAGGTTAGAATTTTAAAACTGGAACTTTACAATTAATATTGGCGCCAAACTTCAGGAGCGTGTAAAACTAATGGTTTCTGGGTAATTGATGTTTATTAAGATTTTTTTGCTTGTTTCGATGAACACCAGTATCAGTTTTCTTTTTAAACATCCTGTATAATAAAGTATAAATTATAATAAAATATAATATAATACACTATATATATAAAACAATTGGTACAATTATGCTCTTTGCTATTTAATATATATAAAATAAGTAATTAATGTATGATAAGTCGATTGAACTCATGGTTACAGACTTATTAATGTAAACGTTCGATCGGAGAAAATTGTCATTTGAAAATATTTCGTATCAAGTGTTTCGAACGCTTGACAAAAGAAATTTTTTCGAATATTTTTCTTTCTAAATGCCTGTTGCAGGAAACGTGGTTGTTTGTTGTATGACTTTTACTTTGCGCGCGAATGCGGTGCCATTCCATTATACTTGGTACTGGATGGTACTATAGAGTAACAATACGGTATAGCAGTATGTTACTAATTATTTCATTGCATTCTTACTACGAATCGAAGAAACAAGTTCTATATTATATAAAAACAACGGTAAATTAAGAGTTTCATTTCGTTCGATAAATCATGTCTCGGAAATCGTTTGTCTAGCATTCATGTGTTTACGTTTCAGAAACAGCTCTTTATTTATTGCACAAAATATAACGGAGCGTATCTTGAAATATTTTACATCATCGTGAATATTACGAAAAGATCAAACTCCGCCCTCCGGAAAAAACACCGCCCCCACCGACATGCGCCCTCGTCGTTGCAACCCTCTTTCTCACCTGTAATCGTTTGCATAATCTGTTTGGAGAGTGGTGAACACCTAATTTCAACTTATCCTCCTTCATATCGGCATCCTTCGACGAAGTGCGGGAAATCGTATCGTTGCTGTCACTCGTGGAATTGTTCTCCTCGCCTCTCAGCAGAACTTATATAGAGAAATTTTGTAATGTCCGGTAAGAGTCGAATACGATTAAACGTATACATTTTTTTTTTTTTTTTTTT